CAGACTGGTACCACATACTCTGAACTTCACGCTGCAGGAACCTGCACCCACAGCAAATCGGATGAAGATTTGGGTGTATCAAGATGTGTCAAGGACACAGTGGCTTGACCCAAGGTGTATGTACTAATGATTCACATTAATGAGTTACTGAACAACTCCTGGTACATCTCACTGCCCCAGGGTTGTTTACCTTGCTGTCCTGGCTGCTTTTCATCCTGGCTAATAGTGTCTCACCAGGGACTCTAAACTGTGCCCTTGCACAGCCCTGCCTGTTTCACTGGTATACACTTTGTGACATCTCCTCACTTGCATTGTTTTTAGAGTTGTTTCACATTCCAAAGTCACACAGACCCGCACAGACATATCCTCTTAACCTTCTCAGCAATAATTCCTGCAAATGAGAGTGTCCACACAAAGAGATACTCAGTATTTTCTAGCACATTAATCAAATAACCATTCAGTTGTTGCCTTATGTGTTGGAAGTGGACATGTTGTCAAATAAAATGATTTTATAGATTATCCTCTGTACTTCCCAGATGGGGAATTTAGCAACATCATGTGCACAAAGTCCTTTAGGAGAAGATCGATGTCTATTCATTTCATCTTCTGTTGCTTACTCAGGGAAATCTCATTCTTAATATTGCTCCCCAGAGGAGCTTTTCCATCCCTGACTTTTAAAACCAGTGATTGTTTCCAAGTGAATGTTGAAAGCAGAGCCTGGACTGCATTCATCTGAAAGCTATTGGGCGGCAGCTTGCAATGACCTCAGAGAAAAAGAAGCAAGTGAGCAGCTATCCTCACTTCTGTATAGCCAGGTGTTCCCTGGGAGTGCAGGCTTTTGGCTTGCCCTGCTGTGTCACAGGCCAAATTGAAAGCCTTGCTCAGTGTGCTAAAAGCTGCACTGAGCCCTGAATTTAAGAGCCCTTCCCATCACTGTACTCATGCAGGTGCTGATATTGGGCTATGCTGTGGCTTGGTGCTGGCAGTGGGCTTTGTGTTTTGCAGAGTGGCTCCTGGCTGCCAGCAGAGACTTTTGGATGGTCTCTGTTCTCTGCTTTTCATCCATCTGAGGTGTGTCTTGGCCCCAGTCAAACTGTCAGAGAGAATGGGGAAGGCTGAAAAGTGTTCTCCTTTCTCGGTGCAAAGTGTCCATAGGCTGGGGAATGAAAGCTGCTCAGCTGAGCAAGGCAGGCTTCAGATTCCTGCTTCCCATCGTGGTGAGCATGCCCATCAGGGCTGCTGCACGGCCAGCCCCTCTCGTGCCTGCCTCTGCCTCCATTAATTTCAGGGAGCTGTCATGATGTTCTTGCAGCAAAATGTTCCCAAGCCTCCCGCTTCCACACGCTCTGTGCCTCTCGGTGTCCTTCTGTCACAGCTCTCACATTAACGTGATGTCTTCCCGGGGCAGTGTTACACTCCAGCCCTTCTCTCCATCCATCTCCTCCACCCTTCATGCCTTCTGAGGAGGCAGCTCTCAGTGTGGCTGTAGGTGAGAGATGAGATTGTGTGGGAGCAATCTGTGTTTTGGCCTCCAGATAATTTATGACAGCTCAGGACGCAGCTGTATTTATGGCTGCTTTCATAGGCCTGGAGATGAACGAAATGCTCCCAGCGGTAGAGAAGCTGCAGAGCAGAGGAAAGGACAGCCCTCACCAGCCACAGTGGACTGGGAGGGGTGGCCTGATAGGCCCCCCTCCATCAGCACTGACCTTTCTGTGGTGACAGTCACGGGAGCAGCCAGCCGAGAGAAGGGCACTTCCCCTCGGGGAGCAAACCCAGCGCTGTGCCCCCATCTGTGCAGGCTGCAGAGCAGCCCGGGAGCAGGGATGCTGCTCTTCCCTCTGCCACAAAATCCCAGGGAAAGGTTAACTACTCCCCATTATGTGGCACTGGGTCTGTGAGCCCTTGCCTACCTCCCCGTGTCACTGCACAGTCCCCACCAACTTCTGCCCTGCTCCTTTCCTCCTTGCATGGGGAGGTCTGCCAACACTGGCTCTGGAGCAAGAGCTGGCAGTGGCTGCAGTTTGGCTCCCATCCCACCCCACCTGGGTCTCCAAGCACCATCTGGGCTCCTGCTGTGTCCCCAAGGCTCTAATGGGATGGAGGACCTGCTGGGCACTCACCACCCCTCAGCAAAGCTGGAGAGGTCGGGCACCACCTCCTTTGGGACTCAGTCAGATGGGCAGGGGGGTGCAAGGCCCAGCCTGTGTCCACGCAGGGCACCTATGCCTTTGGCCTGTTGCTTTGATCTGTCCTTCACCTGTTGTTTCACAACGGGGTAAAAGGTTCTTTTGTCCTTAAGAGCTTGTAGAAAAGGAGGAGACCAGGAAGTTACTGGATTGGTCACCAAGTTCAGACTTCTCTTTTTGGAAGAGCCGCCTGATGCTTGAGTGTCTGGTAATGGTCCAGTTTGCAGCAGAGCTGAGTTGGTCTAGGAGCTGGGAGGGTTTGTGATTGTTTCCTGACTGGAGGGGAGCTGCTTTTGCAAAGCCAGCACTTTGCCATGCTAGGCTCTAAGGATCCCCAGGAACTCTTCTTTCTCTTTCTTGAACTGCTTTTTTTTGTGTTAGAAAGACCCCTCTAAGGAAGTCTCAGCACAGTGGATCTACTTGGTAGGGCATGTAGAGGTCCTTGTACTTAACAAACTGTGCATAGGGAGGGTGAGAGGAAGGAAAGGAAAGGAAAGGAAAGGAAAGGAAAGGAAAGGAAAGGAAAGGAAAGGAAAGGAAAGGAAAGGAAAGGAAAGGAAAGGAAAGGAAAGGAAAGGAAGGAAAGGAAAGGAAAGGGTCAAATGGTTTGCAGATATAATATTAACTGTACAAAGCCTTAGAATAGCTTTGTTGCAGCAGATAAGCTGACTCCCAGGAAACAGGGTCTGTGGTGTTTCTTTCCAAATTTTTGCAGACAAGCAATACTGAGTATTTTGAAGTTCCTAAAATGGAAAAAACATAAGCTATGGTACTTATGAAAAGGATTTTTAAAAGCAACCCACGTCCAGGAAGCACTGGCTGCTTTTGAAAAACCCACCTTCTGTTTTGTAGTAATGAGCAAGGAAAAGATCAGAGCTATGAATCAGCTGTAGGTTTAACTCAGCAAATTGAACAAGCTTTGCAAAGTATCAGGGGCCCAGATAACATCTGCTTCAAAAGCCAAATTCAACATCTCCAACAAAAATGCAACAAAAAATCATCATGATGAACTCTTAGCAGAGCAGCAACATTTACACCAGAGACAGACCTTTTAAAATTTTTCAGGCTGGATTAGCAGGGATTGAAGGAGTCTAGAGAAGGGAAAGGAGGCTTTCTGGCATAAGTGCAGGGTATGGGTAGAGCAAGCACTGGCAGAAATAAAGCTGATTTAGGTCAGAAAGAAGAATTGGAGGTGATTTTTTTCTTGCATATTCCTGCACTGATGGATAGGCAGATGTTATCAAAACTCTATTCCTACCCCTGTGCCATCATTTGAAAGAGAAGTGTTGGGACCAGGATCAAGATCAGAGTCAGCACAGGATTTCCACAGCTGGAGTGCAGGAGCAATTATAACTTGAGGGTCAAATTGTAGGCTGACCAAATAATTTTGTGGTCCTTAATGATACCAGTAGGAATGCAAGCTGCAGTGATGATTCTCCTGCTCTGTGCTGAAATGGTGATTTTCCAGAGGCTGGCTGTGGCAGCATCCCCAGGGTGGGGATCACAGCATCCCCAGGGTGCAGGGCTGGACTGCTTGTTCTGTGAAGCTCTGTGAGATCAAAGACACAGGGTGTATTCAATGCCAAAGGCTACAGGCTGAGGCACATAGAGATTTGAATTTGGCTCTATCCTTACAGATTGCCAGTGACTGTGATTACCAGTCCTGCATTTCTCTTCCTTCCCATTGCCAGTCAAGACTGACTGTGCACAACATGCACCTGGGCCTGATCTGACTGGTGAGGATGGGCAGGAGGAAAGAAGAGGCTGTTGCTGCAGGGCCATGTGTGGGTACAGAGCTGTGGGAAGCAGGGAATCTTTGACAAGCAGGAGGGGCAACTTGCCTGGTGGCTCTTGGGGCAATTGTTTTGAGGTAAGGGAAACACTTCTTATGTGGAACCGACTTCTGGTTTAAAAAATGCAGATCCAGCTTGGGGTTGGGGTCAACTAGAAGCCCAGGAGCCCCAAGATGGCAAACAGATGCCCATTCAGAGGAGTGACATGTGCAGACAATGTTGTATTTGTTGTATGTGTTGGGTGTTATACCACCTTGGATGCAAAGCACCAACCTCTTCAGTCACGAGCAAGGGATGGCATTGCATGAACCTTTGCAGCCACTGGGAGAATGAGGGGAGTGCAGGGGTCATTTTGAACTTGCAACAGTCAGTGCAGCCTGGCTGTGAGGAGGCAGTGGTCTGGCAGGGTCTGACTTGTTTCTCCTGTTCTCTTTGGGTGTGAAAGTTGTGGGACAGTAACCTCTGCATAAGGCGTGTATTTGCTGTGAAGGAGACACACTTAGCTCTTCTTTTCCTACTAAATGGTACAAGAACTTGTAGGAAAATTGCTGAGGGAGAAACATAGGATCTGCTGCCCAGCTGCTCCAGCAGCCAGCACTTCAGAGCAGGCCAATGAAGCTGAGGCAGCAGCGTGGTGCCAGCAGGGTGTGTGTGCTTCGTGTAGCTGCTGTTGTACGTGTGTGTGGGTGTGTGTGTGTGCACAGGGGTAATAGGGAAGCCCTGTTGGCCATCAGACCTCACTGCCCACAGCCTGAGACCTGAGCCAGTTTGCTGGGGGATTTTGTCAAGCTTCACTTTGTAGTTTGGCCTGCCATTCTGCCTTTGGGTTAAACAGGAAATTGGCCAGTGTCATTCACAGAAGGGGGCTTCAGTCTGTCTCAAAGGGCCGTGTTGAGTTTGTTCAGTGGGTGAGAAAACTTTGACTCTCTAATGTAACCATTTAACTCCATCCTTCCTTGTCTTTTGCTTCTCTGTTCCCCTCTCCCCTTTATGACCCTTATTATTTTTCCGTCCACAGCAAAACAGTTCACATCAAGGTAATTGATGATGAGGAGTATGAAAAAACCAAGAATTTCTTCATTGAGCTGATGAGCCCCCGCATGGTGGATATGAGTTTACAGAAAGGTGTAGTACTGGCCCTGCAGACTAACATTAACGTTCTTTCCTCCTCTCTTCCATCTCCTTCCTCCTCTTCTCTTCCTCTTCCTCTGATGTCTCTCTGTCTCCAACCGCTCTGCCCTAAACACTGCTGTGCGCGCACACCGTGTCACATGGTACCCATGGGGTGGCATGGGGAGTGGTGCTGGGGCTGCTGAGAGGCAAAGTGGTGAGGGGAGGAGAGAGAGAAGGATGGAGAGCAGCCCTGCTTGTCCGTATTTCTTTGGTGACTTGAGAGGAACCTTCTGCCCGCCCCCAACCAGAGGGCCCAAACAAATTTTTTTGTGTCAGTGGGAGGATGCTGGCTAGAAACGCATCCAGCATCTCAGGAGATCATCACCCAGCCCTGGTCCTATGGGTTGTTCCAGTCAGACCCATGGTAGAAAAACACAGGAATTGAGGCCTGGCAGAGAAACAGCTCTGTGACTTCTCAGAAGCAGTGGGCAAAGGCTGTGCAACCCCTGGTCTGGTTGTCACAGAGCAACTCTGGGAGCAGGAGCTGAGGGCAAGGAAGAGCTAGTGGCCACTTTGGTTTGCCTGGGGGCTCACAGCAGCTGTGTGCATTGCAGGGGTACTGGAGGGAGCCAGATGAGCTGGCCTCAGGGGGAAGAGGCTAGACTTGCTCCTGTGCCCAGGGCATTTCCTTTTGAGCCTTGGGGGTGTTGTCCCATTGTGTCCCCTGTGAGGTCCCAGCAAAGCTGTCCATCCCCTGGGAAGACTGCATCCTCATTTGAGGAACAGGACAGGAGGATGAGGTAGATATTATCAAGGAGAGAAAGCAATAAGATGTGCCATTTGAAAAATGGGAATTAGAACCTTCAGCTTCCTTAGCTGCTGGTGGAGCTGTAGCCACTGGCAGAGACCTACCTCACCCCACTGGGGCATGTGTCTCTCTCTTCTCCTCAGGTTCCCAGCCCAGAGTCCTTGCAGATTTATTATTGATAGTGAGGGTATTATTACTGTATTTACTATTAATGGTAAGAAGAAATTGGTCCTCCAGCTAAAATGCAGTGGGTAGCTCAGGGTGGTGGTCCCTGGTGCTTTTCAGGCAGCTGATACCCTTTCCATTACCATCTGACACTGAAAAAACAATGCGCTGCAGAAGTCGCCTTCCACTAACCATCAGCAAGGTCCTCCTCCCACTTTTCCCTCCCTCCTCACTCCCTTGCCAGCCCCTTCTGCCCCTAACACCCCTGCTCCCAAGGAGCCGCTGCGAGGATGCTGTGTCCGACAGGCGGGCCGACGCACACCGCCCCGGTGGGAAGGGGCTGTGTGCCAGGAGCCCACGCCGCCGCCGCTGCCGCTGCTGCCGCCTCGCCTCCAGCCAGCCGACCCGCTGTACACGGTTGTCTCTCTTGTTGTCCCTACAGGAAGACCATAAGGGTTAAGATAGTAGATGAGGAGGAATACGAAAGGCAGGAGAATTTCTTCATTGCCCTTGGTGAACCGCAATGGATGGAACGTGGAATATCAGGTGTGAGATCCTTTATGAAAAAAATGCAAAAAAGAAAAAAATCAGAATCAAGTATCCAAACCCCAAATCCAGAAAATATAACCTTCTTTCTCCTCCTTACCCTTCCTCCTTTTCTCCTCCTCCTGTAGAGGGATCGACTTTTACTCTTTGCCCTCCTGTTTTCTTGCTCTTACCCTGTTTCGGTGTCATCTCTGCCTTTAAGAGCCTAGCTTACTTCTGATCCTCCTTTTGTGCAATGCTTGAGTCTCAGAGGCTGTGTTATTTTGATTGGGTTTCCTTGTCTTGATCTGTTTTTTTTTTTTCTGAGCACACCTTTGCTGTTCTCCCTGCTCCTGCTTCTTTGCCAGGACCTTGGGGAATGCAAAAGGCAAGAGAAGGGTGTAATGCATGGCTGCCCCCTTCAGCTCTTTCTGTACTCCCCCTGTCCTTCCCTCTGTTGTTGCCTCCAGTGGTGGCACTGCTTTAGTGCTCTTGGGTCCCTATGAAGTGCGGTGAAAAGTCCATAGGAGAAGAGAGAAGGTGTGAAGTAACTTGGATTGCCTTTTTTTTTTTAAATGGTTCTTCATGTCTTCTATTTGAAAACCCCTTTAATATGTCACAGACAATCACAGTCTGTCATGCAGAGGGTATGAAGCTCTACTGAGGTCCTACTTCATCAGCAGTGAGGATCTCCCAGCAGACCAGGATTCACAGCTGGAATAAACCCAGACTTAAACAAGACACCCAAGTTGTGTCTTGCCTACATCTATCTTTGTCCTTGTCCTGTATGTGTTTGACCCCTTTCTCACTGAGTCTTGCCGCTGGCTTCGCTAGCTTTGGGGTGGCCTGGGAGGGCCAAGATTTGAACAGGGGAACTTTACAAAAAGGGAATTCAAATCTACCTTCTGGATGCCTATTACAGATGTGTGTGCCCACAGGCTTATTTCTGCTCTCAGGTGCTGCTGTTGGTGGTGGGGCACCTGGCTGCTGCCCATGTGCTGCACAGCACAGCTTTTGCTTGCTGAAATGTCTTCTCTTTCTTATCTCACCAGCACAGCAGCTGCCCTCTGCCCAGTCCAAGCTCCCATAGACTGCTCTGTAGGATGTTCAGGATCGACACAGGTTGCGTTAGCATTTCAGTATCGTACAGCATCCATGGACTTGTAAAATGTAAACCCATATTTTAATACTGTCAGACTGCCTCCTGCAGCCCACAGGCAATGAGGGATATCAGGTTTCACTTTGTCAAGCACAGGCCCTCAGTTTTCACTGAAGTCCAGCCGCCCTTGAGCAGAAGCAGCGATCAACCTTGCCATATCCCATGGAAGTATGTCCCAGCAATCAATTGCCCTCCAGGGTAAAGATGTGAGCATGACTTCTACGTAGAATTTGTCCAGCCTCAGCTTATTGTGTCACTAGATATTTTACAACTCTTTTCTGTCATATAAAAGAACTGTATAATGCCACAGCTTCCATGTAGGTATCTGTTTACTTCACCCACAGTACGCTCAGATTTCTTCTTGGGCATTGCGAAGGCCAAACGCTCGGTCCTGGTTCAAAGTCTTCAGTCCTAGAACCGCACTGGGGTCTCCTTTCCACATGTGTCCCTTCCCATCTATGGGTCTACCACCTCCATCTCAGCAGGTCCAGGAGGAAAATCACAGGCCCCTGGCTTTCTCCTGCTTATGCACTTGGCAGCTTGGAGCAACACAGTGAATTTTTTCTCAGCTGTCTGCTCTCTGAGAATTCTGCATCCTTTTCTAAACAATGAGCAGAATAAGTACACAGAGTCAGAAATGGACTGGTTTTATGAAGTCCCACGTTTCTTTTTCCTACACAGGTCACGTTGCACCTGGCTGAATAAGATCAAGTGTTTGAGAAAAATCTGAATGGCCCCTGAAGTGGACCAATTGTAAAACATCCTCATTATTACTAGGACTACAGAGCAAGTTTGCTGTGTCATATGTCTCTTATTTACATCTGTATCAGCTCTAGTCAGTGGGGCTGTCTGATTTGCAACAGGCAGAGAAGAGGTCAGAGCTGGACTATATTGATCTGCAGCACAGAGCCTGCAGGCCAGGAGCAGAGGGCACACCCTCGGACAGACCCTCTTTTGCCTGGAGGAAGTAAAGGACCGTGCCAGGGAGGAGACACAGGGCCCTGGATCTTAGAGAAAAGGATCTTAGAGAAAAGTCAGAGTGAGAGCACCATGGTTTTAACATCTAAGAGGCAGGAGATTAACCTGCATTTGTAAATGTTGCTGGCACAAGGTGGCACAGTCGCTACACTAAATCCAGGGCATCTGGAAAGATCCCCAGCTCCGTAGTGCTGCACTTTGCGGCATCTCCGCTGAGCCTGCCTTGTGCCTGGCATGAAGAATAAGGAGCTACGTGAGGCTTTCCCGCAGCGAGCATTGTGAGCGATCAAGAGCAGATGCTGTGGCCAGCAGCTCCACAGAATTCATGCATGAGCAGCTGGCTCCCGGCGCAGAGGAGGCACGCGCTCGGCCATCGCACGACGTGCCGTGCGGCTTTGGGAAGGGATGCTCGTGCTGACCCCGGCACACCTGCTCCTGCCAGCATCGTGCAGGTGCTGCCATCGCCCCGTGCCCACAGAGGGGGAAAATCCCACACCACAGTCACCTAGCTGGGACTTTGCTGGGTTTTGTTGTGGTGATGGACGTACCCTCACGTGACTTACACAGCAAGGGCAAAGCACAGCTGTGGCCTCTCCTTGGGAGACCAGGCACCGTGGCTCTTGAGGTAGAGTCTCTTTGGGGTTTGGCTACTCATGCATTTGTTCCCAGTGCTGCAAAACATGTGGTTTTCTTGACAGTGTGTCCTCATTTTGTTGTTGCTCATCAGTTTGCTGTGTCACACTGAGCCTGTGCCTCGGTGCTGTAGGAGGATCAATGCTCTCAGCTATTTGCAGTGTCTTTGGAGCCTCTCCTGGCTCCTCTGGAAGCAGGGTGGTGTTGGGCATCTCAGATGAATGGCAGTCATGTTTGGCAGTAATCTGCAATCCAGGTCATGCCGAGACAGCCCGTTGTGCCTGCACTAACATTGCTTTGTGCTGAGGGGCTGCACCCAGCCCAGGACCTCTCCATGCAGAGGGCAGCTCCTAGCTTACCTTAGGGACGCAAAATAGGTGGCAGTGATGAAATCGGGGGTGAAATGTTCCCTGGAGTGACGGCAGAGCTGATGACAGGGAGAAGTAGTACGTGTTTTTCAAAGCAGCCTTGGGCAGAGTTTGAGTGATTTATTTTGGGATGCAGAACTTAGTCTGGAGCCTGGTGCTCTTCAGACCCAGAGTGCTGTCCCTGAGGGTACCCACACTACTGCAGGCTGTGCTGGCAGTGGTTCCCAACAGACATGCAGTGGAGGAGGATGGCAGGTGGGAGCAGGGCTTGCTGCCACACGGTTGATTTGCTGTCTGTGGTGTACAACCTGCCAATACAGTCACCTCCAGTCAAGGGAACTTCTCCTTGGCCCTAATCAGAGCTGTGGGGCACAGG